GGGGCTCTATTTTAACGATCTAGATACATAGTCTAAAGCGAATGGCGCAAATGCATTAAGGGAGTGTCCGAATGCACTTTTGCTACTTTAAAGATGGAAAAATACGCACTGTGTCCTGGAGCATGTAAAAAAGAGTTGTGCGTATTCTCTTAATGAGTTATGGGTGTGTTTTGAGGATAACGGAGTCTCATCTGCTTTAAGAGTAAGTTGCATCTCGCCATGGCACATTTGCTATTTACATGGTGGGTTTAATAAGAGGAAAAAACTGAACACTTCACTAGCAAAAAAAAAACAACAACAAAAAAAAAAACCAGTTAAACAGACCACCTATTAGTGCATTGCTGTACATCTTGAGTGAATAAAGCACTGTGTAAGAGTTTGGACCCGCAAAGGTGCATAATATTTGCGCTCTGCCCTGAACTTTAAAGGGCACCTATGGTGAAAAACATACAAACAAATGTGTATATATAGTGTATAGACCATCATATTGGGGTGATATAAACACACCCAGTCCTTTTTTTTCAATTTAACAACATAAAAACAGTGGACCAATTAGAGCTGTTTTCAGACCGACCGCAACTTCACAAAGGAGTGCGGTCCCCCCGCCCACCGAATTGATTGACAGCTCTGCGCATTAACATGTTCCGGTAGTCCCATGTATATGTCAACAAGACCAGGCAGACATACACAAAGCAACCGGGAATAAAAGGTCTGTTCTGTTTGCTAGGATCAGCAATCATCATCAAATGTGATTAAGAGTAAGTTTCACATGTTTAAAGTGTTTTAAAACAGTGCAAGTGTGTAATTAATCACAGCGATTTACTTAAGCTTTACTTCATCAGCACAGCCGCGTGTCAGAACAATTATAAAAGAAGACGCTTCAATCCCCGTTTGTGAAAGTTACATCAGGTTTAGTTTGTACACTAGCATAACAGATATCCACACAGCACTGGAGGTTAGCCAGTATCCCGACACATTTGAGTGCAAAAACAGTAGGCGGGCAGAACTCGCCTTAAAGGCACAGTACAACAAAACCACCCCCTGCTGGAAATCAGTATAAAACAGCATCTTGTAAAAGGTATAATGAAAAATCTGATGAGTGTTTTAAGCTGAAACTTTATATACACATTCTAGAGACGCAAAAGACTTGTATTACATCTGAAAAAATCTAGGTGCCCTTTAAACCAGCTTTTAGATGGTCAATGGTGCGGTCTATTTCAGCTCCTCAAAATAGCAGTGCACAAACAATGAGCCTTAAAGGTGCAGTAGGTGATTGTCTTTAGAAACATTTTTTGTAGTGCTGGTTGAAAGTCTCGTTACAGTCCAATAGTAATGATTAAAGTAAATGATACAAAATGTGTTAACATGTATTTTTCAGTATTCGAGGTGAGGCATAAAACTAATAATGTTCATCCAATTAAATATTGTTGGGCCGACATCTATAATAATTCCGACAAGTAGCTCAAACTGTCTGTCAGCAAATGCAGAATTTGGAATTCTGCGCATCTCTGTTCATGTATATCCACTATTCGCGCATCCCCGCCTGAATGAGCGCCTTGTGTTCAAAACACGGGCCAACGAGAAAATCACAGACGCTGTAAAATCAAATGCTAAATTGAAATTTTTGAAAACCCTGAATAAATATTGGAGTTACTTTTGCACACTGGAGGAAGGACGACATCATAGCTGAAGTATTACTGTTAGACATGTAGTTTTATGTTTTAAAATTATTTTAGTCAGGCTAAACTGATGTTAAATTATGATCTATAAAATCTCCCGGCGAAAGATTGATGTGACTATTTTCAGTGTCATAAGGGACCTTTTACAGCATCGATAATGTACATTTTTACTTAGCTTAACAACAAAACATCAGTGAATAGCACTATTCTGCCTAACCTGCTTTACTGAGCTGAAGTTGCTTTTATATTCACATTGGTTCATTTTTGAACAATGACAGCCTTCCTATACTGTTTACCATGCTACTCTAAATATTCGCTCCGAAATAGCATGTAAGTGTGGCTTAGTAATAAATGTAATTCCAGCACGCCGCTGACCAAACACTAACTAACTGTTACATTTCCAACTGGTGAATGACATGAACTAGTGGGTTGTCTGCTGCCGCAATTTCAGGGGGCGTGGCTTTTAATCACAGTCCCTCAACGCAGTCCAAAGATAATATGCTAAGCAGTTAGCATTTTTGGCAGATCACCTACTGCACCTTTAACACACCTCCTTCTCAGATCAGCACACTGATGAGTTCACAGGAGTCTCGGTTTTGGACATTACATCAGGTTATTTGCACAGTAGCACAATGGATGCCCATACAGCAGTGTATATTAACTGCAAGTAGATGTGCAAAAACAATACAAAGTTAAGCGTGTGTGTCTGTACTGCAAACTTTTTTTAATGCCATTTGTGTGTCATCGTTGCAGAAAGGCTTAAAAAAACTCCACCACGAATACATCAAACAATCCAACTTGGTATTTTGACTAATAAACTTAATTTCTGTCTGTCACTGACTGCTGTTTATCTGATGTTATACAGCAGGAGAAACAGGCATGTGGGAACATATGGGGAGCTCATTTGCATTTAAAAGGCACAGGCAACAAAACTACAATGTAATCTTACTCCAAAATTCAAATATTCACTAGGCACTTTACAGGCACATTTACCAGACTTATGTGTCATTTTGTAAAAGGGGTAAAACAGGAGTCCTTCAGAGGTCGCCATAGCCAAATGAATCACCAAATATTCCAGCATATGTTTTATGAAGCGGATGCCCTACCAGCTGCAACCCATTACTGGGAAACACTCATGCACTCTCACATTCACACACATACACTCATAAACTACGGCTAATTTAGCTTATTCAATTCACTCTTTGGATTGTGGAGGAAACCACAGCACCCATAGAAACCCACGCAAACACAGGGAGAACATGGAAACTCCACACAGAAACACCAACTGGCCCAGCCGGGCTCAAACCAGTGACATTCTTGCTGTGAGGTGATTGAGAATGAGTTTTTTTTTTCCTGTAAGTGTTGGGTGAGAGGTAGGGTGATAGGGTGAAATAGAGTTTGTACAGTATGAAACAATGGAGAACTTTGAAATGTCCCAACAATTCACACAAAAAAAGTGTGTGTGCGTTCTCACGGCTACTAATATGTGTGTGCCAATGGAGTTAAATGCAGAGGACGAATGCAGAGAATGGGTCACCATACTTGACAGCCTTGTCAGTCCTCCACTTTCACATGTATACGCAGGCACATATACATCAGGCAATAGTTGCATCACATTAAGTTCTCATCAAGTTCATTGCGGTCATCGAGTTATGGTCTGTTTTTCTGTCATGTGGCCGACATGTCATGTTATGTTATAAAAGGCAAAGTGCCATCAAAAGGCTATTAATAAATGATTGGACATGACTCAACAACAAATGCTAGACACTCTTCTGCAGTCCTCGTGTTCATTGAACTTTTGCATTTATACAGTAAGTCATCCTATGAAGTTTATTTTTTTAAATATATTTCCCAAATGATGTTTAACAATGCAAGGAGTTTTTCCACAGTATTTCCTATTATTATTTTTTTCTCCTGGAGAAAGTCTTATTTCTCTTATTTTGGTGAGAATAAAGTTTAAATTTTTTTTTAAAACCATTTTAAGGTCAATATTATAAGCCCACCTTAAGCATATCATTTTTGATTGTCTACAGAACAAACAATCATTATACAACAATTTTTCTAATTGCCCTTGAAAAATATCTAGTAAATAATGTCGCAATGTACTGTCATCATGGCAAATATAAAATACATCAGTTATTAGAAAATAGTTATTGAAACTATTTTATTTAGAAATGGTTAAAACATATCTTCTCTCCGTTAAACTGAAATTGGGAAAAAATATACAGGGGAATAATAATTTAAAAGGGCTAATAATTCTGACTTCAACTGTTTATGCAGTGCTCAGCATAAATGAGAACACTCCTCGTTGTTCATGTATACGCTCACATTGGTGCTCTTTGATTAGTCAAAAGTCAGTTAAAAAAAGCAAAAGGCTTTAAATCTATATGAAGTGCTCAGCATATACAAGTTCACCCCTCACAAATCTTAAATTCATATTTTTAATAGCAAGCTATATAATATTATATTTGTGCATATACATTAGATTAGTCAGTACTGAAACCAAATATGGAGTTATCTAAGAAAATAACTTACGATAATGGTCCAAAAACAGATTTAAATTACGATAATGGTCCAAAAACAGATTTAACTTACGATAATGGTACACCCAAATTTATGTTAGAGAAAAATATTAAATAGAAATTTTAAAAAAGAGGAAAAATCAAGAGAAGCAAAACTATTGAAAAAATGTTGAAGTTTTGAAGGTTATAATAATTTTTTGCAATTTTTAGCTTGAATTTAATTGTATTATCTTTCATTTTTTCAATCTATTTGGTGACTCAAACTTTGTTTTAATAAAAATTTATGTTTAATAAATCTGTTTTGTTTAAATGCACCAAAATACATAGCCTATATTTACTGAGAAAATTATTCATTTTCAAAATGGTCTGTACTCAGTTATGTAGTTTCTGGGGCTAAAGAAAATCCTGTATTTATTCCAACAACGAATAGCTTATTCACCCTTGCATATGAAGCAACAAGTGAAAGTCTACAGTGTGTAGAACTACATTCTAGATTAAGGTGGGAGGAGCTATGACACTTGACTCACAGATTAAAGGTCCTATGGTGTTATGAGGTTTAGTCACAAGCTCTTTACAATACTTCTGAATTGCAACACCCACAAAGAAATGCGAAGGGTGACCATTCATAAAAGAAAAGTAAATTTCTGCAGATTTGAATGTAAATATTCAAGTTTCTTTTTGTTTTTAGTTGATAAATTGTGACATAAGCAACTTTCATTATAATCAGAAAACAGAATAGTAGTAATAGTAATAAAGACAGACAACACATATATTAAGTTTATAGAAAAGGTTTACTAACCACCACAATGTAGCGAGGTCTGTATTGAATGGTGCCGAACAGGCCCAGGATGACCACCAGGATGTGGAAGAAGTTGGCAAGGATGGGAGCCCACTGGTACCCCAAGAAATCGAAGACCTGCCTCTCTAACGCCACCATCTGAAAAAGAGAGAAAGATCATTCAGATGAGCCATTCAGATGAAGGAGGAAAGTTTAAAGCATGCAGAGACAACTAATTTGCATGATCATATTTTTTTCCTCACAGTCTTTGATCATACTGGTTGGAGGACTATCAAAGGATTTCTGACACCAGAGACCTCTTTACGAGTCAAACTGAAATACGCAAAACACTCTCTAGCAGGAACAGAACATCAGCAATGAATCTTTCACATTCAAATCATCTGGGAAATAAGGACAGTGCAGAAACATCTGGAGCGCAACATCACACACCTTTCACGTGCATAAACCTAAAGAGAACTTCATTTTTATTGTCACACATTCGTAGTCAGTGGAAAATGTCTTATTAGTTAATCATTAAATCTGCATCCTACAGGCTTTTTAACCTACACTGAATCTTTTGAAAGTTTTTTAGCACCACTTTTAGCCCCAATATGCGATGCACAAAGACAACTAATGATAAACTCCTACATTTTCTTTGAATATTCATATGCAGGCTGTGCATTCAGTTTAGTTTCATAGTCCAAGCATGCTTAGCACAAACACAGTACAAATAATAGCAATAAAAAAAAGATTAATGGCAAAAAGGTTTACAGCAAAGGACCTATTTTTTCCTCTTTACTTTGTAGATTTGAAATGTTTTGGAAACACGTTATTTTAGTGAAATTGCTTGTGTAACTGCACATTTCAGTATACACAGTATTATTATTTAAGTACATGTTTTTACTTACTTTATGGTTATGTTTATTCTTATAAGTGTTAGGTTCAAGGAGGTACAGGAGACTTATTGGAACACACTTGGACCCATAATTCTCACAGAATCAGTCAAGTTCGGTCAAAGTAAAAATCATGGTTTGGGGTTACATTCAGTATGGGGGCGAGCAAGAGATCTGCAGAGTGGATGGCAACATCAACAACCTGAGGTATCAAGACATTTGGGCTGCCCATTACATTACAAACCACAGGAGAGGGAAAATTCTTCAGCAGGATAGCGCTCCTCATACTTCAGCCACCACATCAAAGTTTCTAAAAGCAAAGAAGGTACTCCACGATTGACCAGCCCAGTCACCAGATATGAACATTATTGAGCATATCTGGGGTAAGATGGATGAGGCATTGAATCCAAAGAATCTTGATGAACTCAGAGAGTCCTGCAAGAACACATTCTTTGCCATTCCAGATGACTTTATTAATAAGATATTTGAGTTATTACAGAGATGTATGGCTGCAGTCCTCCAAGCTCAAGCTGGAAGTCATACACCATATTAATTCTAAGTCCGATCTACTGTCTTAATTACATAGTCCAAAATCAAGGCATGATCATATTTTATTTTGGTAAAATAAGTGTAATCTTGAGACCTTTGTCTTTCATATAAGCCACTTCTGATTCCAAATTATCAACTAGAAGTCAAGTTATTATTTGTTGTTCCTATAACTTGGGTAGGCGACAAGACTTTTGTCAGGTAGTGTACAGAAAAAGATATTTATCATAAGCATATCATAAGAGAAATTGTCCTAAAAAAAAAAGAAATTTAAAATTAAAAGTGAATGATACTTGAACATCTTGTGCTTGGCATCATGCTGTGTTAGTATTTAACAATATATCACTGGTGAACAAACAGACAAGTACTTTAAAATAAGAGAAATCAAACAAAAAAATGAATAGTCTAAGCTACTCTTAAGAGATTCAGGAGAGCAATACTTGATACACAAGCTCAGTAATAAATCATGCTTTTGCATTAATGACTCTCTCCTAAGAGGACTCTCTTTACCTGGTGCTAAAGCAGAGTCTCTGAATGAGACCGAAACACTTGTTTTATCATCAAGCATCTCAAAGTGGCTCTTAAAACTGCTCACACGTCAGACAGCTTGTTTTATCATCCTAGCATGCATTTACTCGAGAGTGTATTTACATAGTGCTCTAATCTGCGCAGCACAATGGTGGCGAGGTGCAGAGAGAGACGTGCTGAAACATGACATTTAATGAGAATGAATGGAGCTGTGCTCGACTGCTGCCTGCTGTGAGATGATGAAAGAAGAGAAGAGGTGGAACTGCTATAGCAAAAGCTACAAATGCTGGGAGAGATTGTGATGAAATGGAAACGGTGTTGAGATAATTAAACAAGCCTGTTTTACATGTTCACAAAGCTGCACTGAGAATGTGCAAGGTTTGAGAGCCATAAATGCCAATTAAATGTCAAATGGAAGGATCGAGATTAAAATACTGCTGATTTCATTCATTGTAAAACAAAATGTTGACTCAAAATTGTAAGGCAACTTTCTGCACAGGTTTTTTTGAGTTGTCTCAACTTTTGACCTAAGTACTGCACTTGACTCAATTCAAGTTGACTCAATTTAAGTTGCTGTACAATTTTAAGTTGAGTCAACTTTTTAAGACTGTTCTACCAGTACATGTGGACTCTTAAAATATTTGTTCATTTATTTATTTATTTATTTATTTATTTTTTCTGTTGATAGTTTTTGGAGGTATATAATATCTATATAATAGGCATGGGTGATATGACAAATCACAATATAATTAATTTCGTACCCTAATAACAAAACATAGCACTTGTAGTACCATTTCTGTAAATTCAATAAGTTAATAATTTATATACTGACCACAAGGACTATTTCTTTTTAATATTTTAAAGTATACACTACCTGACAACAGTCTTGTCGCCTATCCAAGTTTTAGGAAAAACAAATAATAACTTGACTTCTAGTTGATCATTTTGTATCAGAAGTGGCTTATATGAAAGACAAAGGCTTTAAGATTACGCTTATTTTACCAAAATAAAATATGATCATGCCTTGATTTTTTAATGATTTAATTAGGACAGTAAGGTCTGGCTTTGCTTAGACAAAAGTCATGACATTTAACAGAAATAATGTACAGTTTAGAATCTAAAGTCCTGGTGCAGTGGAAAAATAATGAATATTGTGTTTGACTCCCATGAGCTTGGAGGACTGCATCTATACATCTCTGCAATGACTCAAATAACTTATTAATAAAGTCATCTAGAATGGCAAGGAAAGTGTTCTAGCAGGACTCCCAGAGTTCATTAAGAGTCTTTGAATTCATCTTTAATGCCTCGTTCATCTTACCCCAGATATGCTCAATAATGTTTATGTCTGGTGACTGGGCTGGCCAATCGTGAAGCACCTTGACCTTTTTTGCTTTCAGGAACTTTGATGTGGAGGCTGAAGTATGAGCACTAACCTGCTGAAGAATTTGCCCTCTCCTGTGGTTTGTAATGTAATGGGCAGCACAAATGTCTTGATACCTCAGGCTGTTGATGTTGCCATCCACTCTGCAGAACTCTCACACGCCCCTATACTAAACGTAACCCTAAACCATGATTTTTCCTTAACCAAACTTGACAGATTTTTATGAGGATTATGAGTCCATGCAGGTTCAAATATGGTGTTCTGCAGTATTTGTGATGATTGGGATGCAGTTCAACAGATGGTTCATTGAAAAAAACAAAAATCTACTTTCTGCCACATGATTAACTAGAAGTCAAGTTATTTTTTCTTGGGCTTACAACTGGGATTGACGACAAGACTTTTGTCAGCTAGTGTATACTCAAAATTGTACTCATGCATATGATCATACTTCTCACTTTGTTTCGAACTTAAGGGCAAAAGTTTGAAAAAAATGTAGAAATATGAAATAGAAATGAATAAACTGTAAAACACTTTTAAAAAACTAATGATTATATGTCCGAACATAATAAGAAAGCTGCTAAATAAAATGCTAAATGTAAAGATTGTGACTCTCACAATGTGGTTGTTTATGTTTTTGTCTGCACCCCCATAATGGAATGTAATATTGCACTCAATATAAATAATATATATAACTATAATTTTTTTTCCTCATAAACTACATTGTTTCTGACACAACAAAATAAACCATATAGCCTAAAATAAAACAATAGACTTTTTATTTTGTCCATAGAATATAAATATCATTATATTCCACAGCCCTATATAAAATCTTTTCATTTCAAAAAATGATTTTCAAAATAGAGATAAAAAAAAATCTTTATACTCAAAAAACAACAAAAAAACAACACTTCCACTTTGTTTTCAGAGAAAACTATAGTTTGTTGAAAAGTTTTCCTAAAAGAAAAGCTGAAGTCAGAATTATAAAGGCTTAACTAGGTTAATTAGGTTAACTAATAAGGTTAGGGTAATTGGGCAAGTTATTGTATAATGATGGTTTGTTCTGTAGACTATCGAAACAAATTTATAACTTAAAGGGGCTAATAATTTTGACCTTAAAAAAAATAAAAACTGCTTTTATTCAAGCAAAATAAATCAATTAAGACTTTCTCCAGAAGAAATATTATCAGACATACTGTCAAAATTTCCTTGCTCTGTTAAACATAATTTGTGACATATTTAATAAATAAATGAATAAAAGAGGGGATAATAATTCTGACTTCAACTGTATATTCAGTGCTCAACATAACAGAGTACAGCCCATTTTAAAAATGAACATTTTTATCCATTTGGTCTATGAATATGAATAAGTGAATATGGATATTATAGTGGTGAATTTAAACAAAACAGATTTATAAAGCAGATATATTTATTAAATAATATTTTAGTTGCTGAGCATCTTTAGAAATTGAAAGATAATACAATTTAATTCAAGCTAAATATTGCAAAAATAAATTACAAACTACAAAATTTCTACTAAACTTTTTTTTCTTTTGCTTGTCTTGATTCTTCCTCTTTTTTAAAATTTGTATTTAATTGGCTGTACTACATTTTGGACCATTATCGTAAGTTATTTTGTTAAATAATGTCCAGATTTGGCTTCAGTACTGACTAATTTAATTTATATGCACAAATAAAATATTGTGTAGCTTCTTACTAAAAATAGGAATTTAAAAGAATGATTTGTGAGGGGTGTTTGCTGAGCACTGTACATTAAAATTAAATAAATAATATTTATTTTGCCATTTGTTGTA